TCGAGTCGTTCATGCCAATAAATTCCGCATGAACTCCATAAGTTGAGTATCTTTGAGAGAAGTAGTACCTTCAAGCTCTAAGTCTCGAGTATTGAGTTCCTAACCTATTTGTGATTATATTCCTAATCATGGGACTATTACATGTTACCCATAAAATCTTTGAGTTGAATTGTTCATGCCTATAATTCTGCATGAATCTTATAAGTCGATCAGTCTTGAGATGAGAAGTATTTTTGAGTCTTTGAGTTGAGTAGTTCATGCTCATAATTCCGCATGAACTCTGAGTTGAGCATTCTTGAAATGAGTAGTATCATTGAAGTTCTTGAGTTCCAAGTATTTGAGTTCTATCTATGGTTATTGAAAACCTTGCATTGAGTCGTTCATCTCCATAATTCGGCATGAACCATATTTTTAAGAAGTCTTTTACAAACGTTTTAACTTTGTTTTAAGACTTCAGTTTTGAGTTCAGTAAAGGGTAAATTTGAAGTTCTTTTCTTCAAAAAGTATATGGGAACTAAGTATTCCCAAAGAGATTTAAAATGTTTTCACATTTAAATAAGAACGAAAACTGAGATTTCCAAAGAGCCTTCGGGCAAGTTTTCAGAAAAGAGTAATTGCTTTCTAATTGAAGCAAGAGGGGAAACTTTGATTTCCAAGATAGCCTCTGAGCTAAGTTTTTGAGCACTAATCTCAAATCACCGAAGAAGTATGTTTTTAAACATAAAGAGTTAATATAATGTAATATTTTTGGGAGTAGTATTGAGCAACGATGGGGAAGAGTTCATACAACTATCAGCTCCCTTAAACCATGTAGCCATCATGGGTAGAAAAGGGTCATACTGTTTAGATGAATCCTTTTCGCATATACTAGTGGATCCACTTAGTAGTTCAGGTCCTATACCTTTGGCCGGGTATAAGATGCGTTGGCAGCGTGCGGAAGATCGTTGTATCATCACAATAGCTCTTATGTGATGGTTGTCGGTTAGAGAAACTCCCACAGCAGTATTAGCCCGGTTCCTCAAGGGGTTCTGCTTAGTATGAATGGGGGTATGGGACTTCATTCATGCATTGCACAAGTAGACTTTGAGAGGGAGCATGGTATGTCTTTTATGATATTATGATTATGAGTTAACATCATGTTTTAAACAGTTTTCCTTTTTCTTTATATTGCACTTGTTTTAAACTGCTTTATAATTAAATGAGTTCAGTTAAGTATTCATGAGTTGAGTATTTCAAGTCGAGTATCATATCTTTGAAGTTGAGTATCTTATCCTTGAGTACTTCTGAGTTGAGTAAGTTTGAGTAGTTTTGAGTATTCCTTGAGTTGAGCAAGATTGAAAAGAGGTAAGTATGTTTCCTTTTTATCAAGTTTCAAGCTTATGTTATGCTTTAGAATTCCTCTTACATGCTCATACATTCTATGTACTGAGCCATTTGGCTTGCATCTTCTCATGATGCAGACACAGGTATTCAGGATCATCAACAGGAGCTTCGTTTATACATTGAGAGTTCGAGTTAGCTATGGTGAGCCTCCTTGCTTCCAGAGGATTTCATTTACTTTTCAGTTCAGTCAGGATGTTGTGGGTCTTGTCCCGACCTACATTGTTATCAATTAGAGGCTTCATAGATAGTAAGTATAGTTGAGAAGTATGTATTATTCATTTATTTTATTAAATGTTTTAAAGACTTAAGTGCTTATTTTATGGCGAGTTGAATATATTATTTTTATTCTAAGTTTGTTCATTTGAGTTAAAGTTTTGAAAAGTTGAGTTTATTGAATTTTTTTTCCAGTTTTAAGCTTTTGCATGCTTGAGTTAGTCTTCCGCTTGTAGTCAGCCTGGATGAGGATTTGCTTGGGGACCAACAATGGTCTTCGAGTGCCGGCCACGTCCAGGGCGTAGACTCAGGTCGTGACATTTGTATTCTCTTCATATAAAGTATTGTCTTCATCTTTTTTTTGTGCTATTAATTTAGATTCATTTAATATTTATAATAATAAATACATTTTGATGGAAATGATTGTTTGTCAGCTAGATTAATTTTATGCCTAGTTTTTCTTATGGTATATGATGATAATTTTATAGCTTTAAAATAAATTTCGTGTTCTTAAACTATTAATTAACATGGTACACAATCGAACAATCGGGCAGCCTATATATTTGGAGACAGGTGGAGATATAAGACTTTCGACTAGAACAAAATATATGTTTTTCAAATAAAAAAAGCACAATGAAAGAAAGATAGTGTGTGGATAACTCTAAGCTATTTTTCTTTCTTTTTATGTTCGACATTCATTTGAATCTTATAATCATGGATAACTTAAATCAATATTACTTGTCAAATTATTTTGCAATTCTTTTAAAACTGACTATTTATTGAGAGAATTTCGATTAGCTAAGCCAACACATTTCAATCACCGGATGATTTAATAACAAAGAAGAGATCCAAGTTATAACATTTAAGTTTGTCGTTTTATTCTCCTAATACGCACACAGAAACAAAGATAGACATGAAAAAACTTGATTAGCTAATATCATTTGCTCTAAAGTAAAATTAATATACCAAATCATGCATACTATCATCATGTTTATGAAGGCGGAGAGAGAAAATCTTGAACATGCTTCCTACAAATGAAATACCTAAATGAAATCTCTTCAAACTTATACCCCAAAATGAAAGGTGATTCAAATGTGTTGGACGCCACTAGATAATGAATAGGTGAAATTAATGCAATACAGATGGTACATTTAGAGAAAATTGTGACAGCGGATCATGGGAATTTTGAATGAGGGGTATGAATGGTAATATATTTGCTAATAAAGCAAAAGAAATGAGTATATTACAATGCACAACAGTCTCACAAAAATTATGACTATACTAAGGCAATGATATATATAGAGGAGAACTAATATCGACATGTAATAATTGAGATTGGCTCCTTGTTGTTAAGGAATTTTATTCTGAAAATTTGGGAGGTGGGAGGTCTCATGACCAATAATTGAAGTGGTGGATGAGATATGAACGAGGATGTGTAACAAAAATATCAAAATAACTCATATTATAAAGGAAGGCAACTGATAGGCTAATCATCTCCGAATACAATACTAGATGAAGGAGGAGCAAATACATAGTCTTTCTCGGATCTAAGAGTATAGGGAAGGAGACTAATTAATAATGATAAGCTAAATTTTTCTTACTTAAGAATCAGATCAGATAAGAGATGAAAAGTTGGGGTGAAAAATGGACAGAGTTCACTACTTATCATGAACAAATCCCCTGATGGGAGAAGAACATGATAAACAAAACTTTTAACTAATCTAGTTTCTTTGATTGCAAGTAGACATTCATGGAGGACAAAAAATAACAACACAAATTTGGATATATATAAAATAGTACATAAACAAATTTGGTGTAATCTTTCTTGAATTGGCTTAGTCTAAAACGTCTTAATTGAACTGCTTCAATACATATGAATCATACAAATGATGCACCAAACTACAAACATACAAGAACTCAAGAATCAAAATGCAAACACATATACAATAGACTATACACAAGCAACTACAAGAATAAAATAAGCAACACAATATGCAGCTCAAATCCAAGCCCAATTTCAATTTTACACTTCTAGGATTGGTTGATGTGCAATATGTGGTATTTTTACCTTAGGATACTACTTCTAGCGTACAAAAATCGATCTTTTTAAGTGCAGAATTAAAAGAAAGGAAAACATTATTCTTATTGTAGGTCACACAGTTTAAGAAAAAAATGAAAAGATGAGAAAAGCTCACTTATCAAGCATCACGAAGAGAACAACATGGGGGACGAATCATAGCTAAAGGCACGAAAAAATGCAAATAGAGGAATTATCTGCTAATCAACATCAAGAAAAATATTAGGAGGCCAGATCAACTTCAAAATAGAAAATCTCATATGGAACCTCTAGACAAAATTCTCCATATCCAAATACTTTCAACAGATATAACTCTACAGAATCCTAAAGAAAAGTTTTTAAAATGAGATCGACAATTCAAAGGGTACAATAAACACATGAATCAGAAGAAATAGAATAATAGAATTGCAACAAAAAAGTATCTCAAAAATGGCAAGAAAAAGGGGGGAAATATATACCTGTTGGCAGTCAAGAATACAAGTGAAACATTTGAAAATCAAGATTGCCATATCTGAATTCTGAGCTAATTGAACAAAATGCAGTCAAACTGGAAATGGACGTATAACGATGAGAGACAAGATAGGCATAAACTAGAACAAAAGAACAAAAAAATTCAATAAGATATCAAAATCAAAGCTTTCAAATTCAATACACAAAGAGGACATGGATCACAAACTTAGTTGGTCCTAAAAAAGATGTCAGAATTGCCAAATTGAAGCTCAGAAGAATGGCTGACAAAGCGAAGCTCGAAAGTTCTACACTTTTCTATTTTAATTTGAGAAGAAATGTATTATACTCTTTGCTCTTTCTATTTATTACTTATTGCAAGACATTATTTATCATAATAAAATAGTTAGTGGGTCGGGATCCGGCTGACCTTGTATTTATAAAATAAAATATTAATTATCTTCACTTGTTATATGTCATTTTCATTCTTCTAGTTCTTATTCAACACCATTTTATTTAATAGGTTAGGAACAAAACCCTTCTATTGGAAATAAATAATGATACTTAAAAAAATCAACATATCAAATTTATCTAACAACAATCATTCCCCTAAAGGTTCTTATTGCTATCAAGATAAAATAAATCTAAAATAATAGAACCATATAAAAGGAAATAAAGCAGAAATAATCTAGTACTTGGTATGTTGCAACGACCCAAGCTGACGTTATTTAAATGCATCACAAGTGGAGTCTCAAAGTTTTCTTATTCGGGTGCCAAATTAAATTTTGGAGCACACGACAGAATTATTAAATTTGAAAGTATCCGGGCTGGCATCTACCCACCATATCTAGACATCTCCCGCTATGTAGTGCCACTATAGCTCCTGTAGGGCCGCTATAGCTGGGTTGATAAAATCATACCCTAGATAAAATGATGTCTTTTATTTTTCTTCCCACTTTTCTGACACAAAACAGGCGAAGGTTACTCCAAAATTCTCCTCAACCACTTTAAGTTTGAGGGAAATTGAGGATAGGAATTTCCACATAAGGAAGGGAAAGACCCAACGACTTCCGATCCACGCTCATTAGGATTTGCCCCAAGGAGCAAAGGGATGCCTTCAAAATTCTTCAATAGATGTTTTACGCCTAGATAGGCTAGGTTTCCATAACTAAGTAGTTAGAAATGCTTCCAATTGATAATATCATATAGATTGTTGGGAGGTTGCATGCATAGGTATTCGGATATGGAGTTTGGATGGTTGAATGTATGGTTAGTTGTGGTGTAGGTTGATTAATTTTATTTGTTACTGTTGGCATCTGATATGGCTGGGTGTTACCTTGAAAAAGTAATTGAGGGTGATTGAATTATAGAATTTGGATAATTTAAGCCAACAATTTTCAATCACCAAATGATTATAAACAAATAAGAGATCCAAGTTATAACATTTAAGTTTGTTGTTTTCTTCTCCTAATACACATACAGAAACAAAGATAGACATGACAAAACTAGGTTAGCTAATATCATTTACTCTAAAGTGAAACTAATATACCAAATCATGAATACTATCATCATGTTTATGAAGGTGGAAAGAGAAACTCTTAAACATACTTCCTACAAATAGAGTACCTTGATGCAATCTCTTTAGACTTATCCCCAAAACTCCAAGGTGATTCAAGCGTGTTGGAGGCCACTAAATATGACAATACAAATTGTACATCTAGAGAAAATTCTAAGATCATTGGAATTTTGTATGAGGGATATGAATGACAATCTATTTACTAATAAGACAAACGAAATAAGCATTTTACAATACACAACACTTAGACAGAAGTTATGACTATACTAAGGCAATAAGATATATAGAGGAGAACTAATATCAACAGGTGATAATTGACATTGACTCCTTACAATTAAGAAATTCCATTCTTGAAACTTGGAAGGTCTTATGGCTGATAATTGAAGTGGTAGAAGAGATATGGATGAGGATGAGTTACAGAAATATTAGAATAACTCATATTATAAAGAAAGACATCCGACATGCTAATCATCTCGAAAATACAACACTCGATGAAGGAGAAGTAAATACGCAAACTTTACTTAATTATCAAATCATGCAAGAGATGAAAAGTTGGGGTGAAAAATAGAGGGAGTTCAATACTTATCATGAACAAATTCCCTAATGAGAGGAGAATATGATAAACAAAACTTTTAACTAATCTAGTTTCTTTGATTGCACGTAGACATTCATGGAAGACACAAAACAACAACACAAATTTGGATAAACAAAAGAATAGTACATAAACAAATTTGACGTAATCTTTCTTGGATTGGCTTAGTCAAAAACCTCTTAATTGAACTGGTTCAATAGCTATGAATCATACAAATGATGCATCCAACTACATAAAAATACAACCATACAAGAACTCAAGAACCAAAATAAAGACACCAATACAACAGACAATACATAATAACAAGCAAAGAGAAATAAGAAGCAGCTACAAGAACCAAATAAGCAATGCATTATGTAGATAAAATCCAAGCCCTAATTTCAATTTTACACTATTAGGATTGGTGGATGTGCAATGTATGGTATTTTCACCTTAGGATGCTATTTCTATTGTACAAGGATCGATCTTTTTAAGTGCAAAATTAAAAGAAAGGAAAACATTTTTCTCATTGTGGGTCACACTGTTTAAAATAAAAAGAAGAGAAGCTCACTTACAAGGCATCACAGAGAGAAAAACATAGGAAACGAATTAGAACTAAAGACATGGAAAAATGTGAATAAAGGAATTAATTGATAACCAGAATAAAAAAAATAGGAGGCTAAATCAGCTACAAAATAGGAAATCTCAAATGGAATGTCTAGACGAAACTCTCCAGATCCCAAATATTTTCAGCACATCCAACTCTAAAGCATCCTAAAGAAAAGCTTGAAAATGAGATCGAGAATCAAAAGGGTGCAATAAAAACATGAATCAGAAGAAACAGACAAATAGAAGTGCAACAACAAAATACCCCCAAAGGTCAAGATATGAAAAGTTGGGGTGAAAATGGAAGGAGTTCAATCATTATTATGCACAAATCCCATGAAGGGAGGATAATATGATTAACAAAACTTTTAACTAATCTAGTTTCTTTATTGCAAGTAGACATTCATGGAAGACATAAAACAACAACACAAATTTGTATTCATATAGAATAGAACATATGACGTAATCTTTCTTGAATTGGCTTAGCCAAAAACCTCTTATTTGAGCTGATTCAATAGATATTTATCATACAAATGATGCACCCAACTACATAAAATCACAACCATACAAGAACTCAAGAATAAAAATGCAAACACCAATACAACAGACAATACATAATAACAAGCAAAGAGAAATAAGAAGCAGCTACAAAAACCAAATAAGCAATGCAACATGCAGAATTGGTTGATGTGCAATGTACAATATTTTCACCTTAGGATGCTCCTTCTATTGTACAAAGATCAATATTTTTAAGTGAAAAATTAAGAGAAAGGAAAACATCATTCTCATTTTGGATCACACAATTTCAGACTAAAAAGATAAAATAAGAGAAAAGCTCACTTACCAGGCATCACAGAGAGAACAACATCAACGAATCATAGCAGCTACGTGAAAATGTGAGTAGAGGAATTAATTGCTAACCTGAATGAAGAAAAAACAGAATGAAACTAGATCAGCTTTAGAATAGAAAATCTCAAATGGAACCTCTAGACGAAACTCTCCAGATTCCAAATATTTTGAACATATCCAACTCTAAAACATCCTAAAGAAAAGCTTGAGAGTGAGACCGGCAATCAAAAGGTTGTAACAAACACATGAATCAAGAGAAACAAACAAATAGAACTGCAACAACAAAATACCCCAAAAGGTCCAGAGATGAAAAATTGGGTTGAAAAATGGAAGGAGTTCAATACTTATTATGAACAAATCCCATGATGGGAGGAGAACATGATAAACAAAACTTTTAACCAATCTATTTTCTTTGATTGCAAGTATACATTCATGGAAGACAAAAAAACAACAACAAAAACTTGGATACATATAGAATAACATAACCAAATTTGGCGTAATCTTTCTTGAATTGGATTAGTCAAAAACCTCTTAATTGAACAGGTTCAATAGATATGAATCATACAAATGATGCACCTAACTACATAAAAACGCAACCATACAAGAACTCAAAAATCAAAATGCAGACACCAATACAACATATATTACATAATAACAAGCAACGACAAATAAGAAGCAACTACAAGAACGAATTAAGCAATGCAACATGCAGATCAAATCCAAGCCCTAATTTCAATTTTACACTGTTTGGATTGGTTGATGTGCAATGTATGATATTTTCACCTTAGGATGCTACTTCTATTGTACAATGATCGATCATTTTAAGTGAAAAATTAAAAGAAAGGAAAAGATCATTCTCATTGTGGGTCACATAGTTACAGATAAGAAAAAAATAAAATGAAAAGAAAAGCTCACTTACCAGGCATCGCAGAGAGAACATCATCGGAAATGAATCATAGCTGGCACGGAAAAATGTGAATAGATGACTTAATTGCTAACCGGAATCAAGAAAAAATAGAAGGATGCTAGATTAGCTTCGAATAGGAAATCTCAAATAGAACCTCTAAATGAAACTCTTCAGATCCCTAATATTTTTAACAAATCCAACTCTAAAACATCCTAAAGAAAAGCTTGAAAAATGAGATCGGGAATCAACAAGGAGAAATAAACACATGAAGTAGAAGAAACAAACAAATAGAACTTCAACAACAAAATACCCCAAAAAAGGTTAAGAGTTGAAAGGAAAATGTGAATAGAGAAATTAATTGCAAAGCAAAATCAAGAAAAAAAAGAATGGGGCTAGATCAACTCCAGAATAGGAAATCTCAAATGGAACCTCTAGACGAAACTCTCTAGATCCCAGATATTTTCAACAAATCCAACTCTAAAGCATCCTAAAGAAAAATTTGAAAATTGAGATCTAGAATCAAAAGGGTGCAATAAACACATGAAACAGAAGAAACAAACAAATAGCATTGCAACAACAAAATACCCCAAAAGGTTAGAAAAAGGTCAAAAGATGGGTTGGCCTCTAAGCCTTGCGGGTTGGGCCCACGTGGCTAGCGGGCCAAATGAGGCTGGGCCAAAAAGCCTCGTTCCTAAATGGGCCAAAAAAATTAGGCCTAACCCTACTTAATTCAAGGGTTGGATTGGGCCGACTTAACAGGTCAATCCCATTTTGACAACTCTAGGTATTGTAGGACAGCAGATGAGGAGGAATTGCACAAAGAAGAAAAGCATTCTCATCTTGGTATATCCATTGTCTCTTCAGCTAGAAAACAAGTTAGAAAGCGGTAAAAGGATACAAAGAGGACATGAGAGAAAAATGTCACTTACAGGGAGTTGCAATCTCAAATACCAGACAAGGCACCTCTATCGACACCACCAAAGTAACCACTACATCCAACACATTGAATTCCTACATAAAAAAGGTCAGCAAACAAATCGGGAAGGGAATGGTAGCTAAAATTAATGGAGATGCACCTCTATGAGCTGAGAAAAATGGTAAGTATGACGGTCCAAATGAAGGTGTTGATAACCTACATCAGAAGGAAAAGGAAAGTGGAGTTGAAGAGACCTGCGGCGACATTGTGGAGAAAATGAAGGAGCTCAATTAGGAAACCCTAATGCTTAGGGTATGATAATAAAGGCGGGCAGGTTCATTTACAAACTGAGCCGATTTCTTTTCTATTTTTTTCGTTTTGGGTCGGACGACATCTTTTGCACAAACTTTTGAAATTCAATAAAAGGAACACTTAGCTTCGCTATTAGTTTAAGAAAAAGGGGGGGGGGTAATATATAACTGTTGGCAGTCAAGAATACAAGTGAAATATCCGATAATCAAGATTGCTATATATGAATGCTTAGCCAACTTAACAAAATGAAGTCAACCTAGAAAGACATATAAAGACGAGAGATAAGATAGGCATAAATAAGAAAAAAGAAAGCAAAAACTCAATAAGAAATCAAAATCAAAGCTTTCAAGTTCAATAAAGAGGAGGACATAGATCACAAACTTAGTTGGCCATAAAAAAGATATTAAAATTGCTAAATTCAAGCTCAGAAGAATGACAGACAAAGTGAAGCTCGAAAGTTCTACATTTTCCTATTTTAATTTGAGAAGACATTTTTACTTTACTCTTTGCTTTTTTTCGTTTTTCTATTTATTATTTATTGCAAGACTTTATTTAGCATAATGAAATAGTTAGTGGTCTCCCACTAATCTTTTATTTATAAAATACCAAGTATAATTTTTTGTGTTTTATTTCCTTTTTTCCTATTATATCATTTTAGATTGATTTGATCTTGATAATAGTAAGAACCTTTAAAGGAATGATTGTTGTTAGATAAATTTGATGCATAGTTTTCCTTAAGTATTGTTATTTATTTTCAAATAGAAGCATTTTGTTCTTAACCTATGAAATAAAATGGTGTTGAATAAAAATGGAAGGAATGAAAAAGACATATAACAAGTGAAAGTAATTAATATTTTATTTTATAAATACAAGGTCAGTGGACTCCCGATCCACTAACTATTTTATTATGATAAATAAAGTCTTCCAATAAATATAAATAGAAAAATGGAAAAAGCTAAGAGGAAAGTAAATGTCCTCTTAAATTAAAATAGACAAGTGTAGAACTTTCGAGTTTTGCTTTGTCCGCCATTCTACTGAGCTTGAATTTGAAAATTCTGACATCCTTTTTATGGCCAACTAAGTTTGTGATCCATATCCTCCTCATTGTATCTTGAATTTGAAAACTTTGATTTTGATATCTTGTTAAGTTTTTGCTTTCTTTTTTCTTGTTTATGCCTATCTTGTCTCTCATCTTTATATGTTTATTTCTAGGTTGACTGCATTTTGTTCAATTCGCTAAGAATCCAGATATAGCGATTTTTTCACTTGTATTCTTGACTGTCGGTAGGTATATATTTTTCCCTTTTTTTTCTTAAACGAAGAGCGAAGCTAAGTGCTCCTTTTATTCAATTTCAAAAGTCTGTACAAAAGAGATCGTTCGACCCAAAACAAACAAACAGAAAAGAAATTGACCCGGTCCATAAATGAACATGCCTACCTTTATTATCAGACCCTAAGAATTAGCGTTTCCTAATTGAGCTCCTTCATTTTCTCCACAATGGCGTCGCATGGAGCTCTCTTCAACTCCACTTTCCTTTTCCTTTTGATGTGAGTTATCAACACCTTCATTTGGATTGTCATCCTTACCATCTTTCTAAGTTCACAAAGGTGCGTCTCCATTGATTTCAGCTACCATTTCTTTCTTGATTTGTTTGCTGACCTTTTTTTTGTAGGGATATAACCTAGTGGATGTAGTGGTTACTTTGGTGGTTCATTAGAGGTGCCTCGTTTGGTATTTAAGCTTGCAACTCCCAATAAGTGATATTTTTCTCTCTTGTCCTCTTTGTATCCTTTTACCGCTTTCTGGCTTTTTGTTTTCCAACTGAACAGACAATGGAGATACCAGGATGCTCATGCTCTTCTTCTTTGTAGAGTTCCTCCCCATATGTCGTCATATAGTTCCCAATCTTTTGACCTTTTTCTTGATCTTTTGGGGTATTTTGTTGTTGCAGATCTATTTGTCTGTTTCTTCTTATTCATGTGTTTATTTCACCCTTTTGATATCTTGTTGAGTTTTTGCTTCCTTTTGTCTTGTTTATTTTTATCATGTCTCTCATCTTTATACATCCATTTCCAAGTTGACTACATTTTGTTCAGTTGGCTAAGAATTCAAATGTGGTGATTTTGATTATCAGATGTTTCACTTGTATTTTTGACATCAATCCAACTCAAAATTCTCAATAACCATGTAGACTTAAGTCTTTCCTGTAGTGCACCCATAAGTCACCTATCATAATTTGAACAATCCAACCTAATATAAAAACACAAAATCCTCCATACATCACTGTTTGTCACCAAACCAAAATCAACTCTTCAGAAGAGTCGTTGATAAACCCTTTATAAGTATGTGTCGAACCAAGGATTTATACGTGATGTCTCATTTCTTTACATTTCTTAAATTGTACCTTGACACAATTCTAAATATTTTGAACTCTTCAACATACACGATTATTGTTCCATTCGCTAACTCGTTTACCAATGCTATCCTTTGTCCAAAAATTCACAACATTCCTCATGCTCTAAACCAAAAACTTCAAGTGAAACACTTCATTAGGTCTTTTAAATTCTACAACTCAAACCATGCAAAAGTCCTTCCAAATGCTCACTAATCGACATGATCGATCATTTCTTGCCTTACCAATTTATATTGTCGCACCCATTTTTCACAAAATGAATTTTGCAACGACATGACAACTCTTTTAGGCATTAAATAGAGAAGAGTCACCGCCTAACAAATTAAATGTGTGTTAGGACACCATTCTATACTGAACAAATAAATAAATTAAAAAGGGTTATACACAATCAGAGATCAGGTAAGTCTTCAAATTATCTCAAAAGTAAGGTGTTAGGCACCTTTCAAGGTCCATAAAAGTGGATCCCAACCGAATCTTATAAATTATGTGGGTATATGTGATAAGCAAAAAGGCTATTAATTTATTAAGCTAAGAATGACTACACAATTACATTAAAGTTCCCCCTACTAGCCACAAAAAGTTAATGCAAGTCGATAGGTTCTTCAATCATCGAGTACAATATCGACTTTCCACACTTATCATGACAACATCATTGATCTTTGACGCTTATGGGGGGGCCAATCATACACATGCACCACCAGAGTCTTCATAAGAACTCCGGGGCGAGGGCCAAGTGAACCCGAATTAACGATGAGAAGCGGTTAAATCAGTAGCAAAGGCACCAGGACGGACGGTTGGTTTAACCAGTCAAATAGTTTATGAAAACTTTATTTTAAAGCTTAAAACAAGTAAACAAATTAAGCATGAATCCATTATTATCTAAATTAATACAAAACTAGGTGATTAGATAATTAAATAAATTGACATGTTTATTATTTAAGCAATAAGTAAAAATAATGGCAACCAAAGGGGCATCAATTAATTAATTAAAGTAAACTATGTGATAAAATAGGCAAAATTCTATTCAAAGCAACTTAACAAAGATAGTAAAATGATTATTAATTAACAAAAAAATTAAAATAATAAGAACTATTTATTATTAAATAAAATAATCATTTGAGGCTAATTTTAAAAAAAATAAAAATATCCATAACAAGGCAATAATTAGTTAAGAAAATAGATAAGTAAGCACATAGAATTAACACCAAAAGATATGAAAAATTGTAAAGGTGAAATGTAAATAAATCTATCCCAAACAAAGATGAACCATAATTATAAAAGAAAATGATTTGTAAGCATAAAAAATACTTAAAATATAAACCAATCCATAAGAGATTATAAGGAAGCTTCAAATGTTTGTTTCTTTATAGGGATAATATTACGATATTATTAATCACACTCCTACACCTTAGAAACATTTTTATTTGAGATCGATCTTAGAAAATAATAATAGTATTTAAAGGATAGTTGAAAGATTTTATTTAAATACAAACACATAAATATATTTACATACAAATACACTTAATCATTTAGAAAAATCTTTGGTAAGCAATACTCCAAAGGTCACATCAGCTTAGTTAAAAATTTGGAATTAAACCTCTCGATTCCTTTTACTTTCCCACTAACTATATGTTAGAAAATAGTCGTTTACCATATATCTAAATCAAAAGCAACATGTCCAATTCAAGTACTTAAACAAGAGTTGGACAATGGCTTTGATAACAAAAATGAAAACAACTTTAACAATTGAACATAAAAATTGTGACATAAAACATTGAAAAGAGAAACATGTAGCACATAATGTTTCCCCAACCCAAATGATAGAAGCCCTTATTCTTAATATTACAAGAAATCTAGTTCATAAGTTATTACAAACCTACTAGTGAAATGGAAAAGACAATGAATTCGAGACGAGTAGGCTTTGACTAGACGATCCTTGAAAACTCCCAAGTCCTAGACAACTCTTCAATGCCCCCGATATCGAACTAATGCCCTGTTCACACAAAAGAAATGCACACGCACACACAATAGCATAGAGACGGAAGCACTAATAAGCCCACTTCCATAACGGCCTTGTTAAGCACCACAAAAAGTGAAGTACAAATTTCACACCAATCTTGGAAAATAGAGCATAACATATTTTCTGGAACATTAAGAAATACTCTTAGCTACCACATTATACAATTATTTGGTTAGTAGACTGGGAAGTGAACCACAAAGGTATTTTGCTGCAATTAAGTTGTATATTATGATAATCATGATTTCAAACAAACAAGAAAAAGAGCAACAAGCTTTGAAGTTAAATTATGAGTAAATCGTATAAACATGATTTCTAATGCACAAAGTTTCCGAAAACTTATCAAAGCGCATTAAAAATAAAAGGACATGCTTGTTTGCTTCTCCCGAAATGCTTAAAACATTCGAGTTTTCCAAAACAAATATTTGATGCGACAAGAGAATGAAAAATACAACTACCACATTAAGCATGAAGAGTACTTCGATAGAAACTAACCTGTAAGGAAGTAACAATACAGAAACAACAACAATAACCAATGATACCACAGCAATCCGAGCATCAATAGCCAAAATTGGTATACAACTACCAACAAAGAACAAGAGAACATAGAAAAGACGATTCAGTTTATCAGTATTCAAGAAGAGAAGTGTCCTCCGATTAAGAGGTTCTAGTTATATTGTAATGGAGAAGAGAATTCCAGAGTCTTTCACCAGTGATCAGTCATTGAAAAGAAAAAGATGAAATCTTAAATAATATTTTGATGAAAGAGTAGGACTGCTAGTTATTCGTGAAGAGAGAGCTCCATGGGCTGTCTTTTTCCTTTAGAGAGAAAGAGAGTTCAAGAGCTGTTTTTAGTGATCACAAGCATGAGAAAAGAATGAGATCGAAGTCCTTATTATATAGTAAAGAGGGCTGATCAGCCAATGTAAAGATATGGAAAGAAAATATTCTTCTCGATCAGCAGCATATTCGTGAGAGCATAAAAAGAGAAACATAAAGATATATGCAAATTTCCATAATCCTTTCGTCATATCAAGTAATCTATGCTACTAACCATGTCTTGATTGACTAAGGAAGATGAAAATTACAATAATTCGAATAAGCAATATCAATCAGACATCTCTAGTTGCCCCATTTAGACATATGACTGTTGCGAATCAAATTTGAAGGAAGAGGAAATCCCATTGATCGAGTTTACCATATTAGTTAATTTGAAAAAAATTGAGAAATTGTAGATATGATGAAAGTTGACAAGCAAATCACATAACAGAGTAAAATGATTATTGATTCTCATTACAAAACAATATTTTAAGGAACTAGTATAAAAATATACGAAGATTAAAGTATGAGTATATCTCGATTTGAAACACCTCCGCTGCGTCAACAGTAAACAAAACTAAAAATTAAAATCAGTTTTAGCAACTTGTTAATCATAAAGTATTAATAGATTATACCCAGCCTATTCAAAAGTGGCTCAAACAATATGATAGACATGTATTACAACCTCTAATAAAGCTTTAAAAATGAAAATAATAAAAATTCACAAAAGTAATCAGAGTATTAGGAAAGAAGTCACCGGTTAATCGTTCTGGATTTCTCATTTTAAGTTTTGTCTTCGAATGAAGTTCCATGCTTGGATCTTCCACCGGAGAGAAGTGACAGAGAGACACAGTGGCTCGCCGACGTCTGCTGGGTGAGGTTTCTGGTGGCTGTCCGATTCGCCGGACAGATGGAGGTAGTGGCGGCGCCAGGAGAGAGGGGACACTCCTCTTTCTCTCTCTTCCTTTTAATGTTTTTTCCCTTTCTTATTCTTTTACTCTTGTTTTACCTTTGGTTTCTTTTATAAAACAATTGTTCCAAATTTTATACTTTCATACTTAAATAACTCTATTCATGAAAAATATGAAATTCAAAAAAATTTGCTTGACTCATTCTATTTGTTACATTTTTATTTTGTGTTTTCATCTCATATTAATTATTTATATTATTAAAAATAGTTATATAAAATTATTTTTTAATTTACAAAGATATGATTAATTAATTTTTTTCTATTTTATTATAACAATTAATTATTTATGAAAGTATAAATAAAATTTATAAAAGTTACCAAAAAAAATTAAGGTATATATTTTATTTGTCGTCAATTTGTACCACATTCTTATTCTTAAAAATCAAGATAGGGTGAAAATTTTAATAAAATATTTTTGCTTATCTACTTTTTCTTACATGTTCTTAAAGAAATTATAAATATAAATAATATTTTTTAATAATTTTATTCCTTAAAAGAATTTTTGCAATTTTACAAAATTTATTTATAATTATAAAAAAATTAATTGTTAGGATTAAAAAAATTACTTATATCTTGATTTTATAAACTAAAAAATAAATTTCAAACAACTATTTATTATAATAAAATAAATAATATAGAATAGAAAAAATAATAAACTAAAAACTTATATAATTACCGTAAATTTAAATCAAAATTCAGTACATAAAAAAAGAAAAAGCATAAACTAATTAGTTCAATGGGTTGATTACATGAATTTTCACTATTTTTTTTTAATTTCACTATCCTCAATTTTCTTGAATTCATCCAAAAATAAGTAAATTTAATTTTTTCGACATATTACTTCAATTTTCCCTCAAATAAATAGTAATAGAGATATAAAATATATAATAGATACCGTGTGTAAGTTTCAAAGTTTCTTTATTAAAACAAAAAATAAAAAATAAAATTTACACTAAGAATTAACAAGCAAAAAGGAAAATGCAAGTAAGAAAGAAAAAGTAAAAGAAAAGAAAAAGTAAGGAAATAAGTACATATGAGTCCCACAGTATACATGTGGCAGCCAAATGAGGCAAGTAAGAAAGAAAAAGTAAAAGAAAAGATTAAAATTAGAAAAGAAAAAGTAGGGAAAAAAGTACATATTGGTCCCACAGTATACATGTGGCAGCCAAATGAGGCCTCACACAACTGACAGTATGTGTGCCTCGCCCAGAATAAAAATTTTCTAGGGAGATATAGTTTAGGGAAAAAGGGTAAAACATATCCTCTTTATATTTTAAGGTTATATATATCTTACTGTCAATATTTTGGATCATTTATACCTTTAAGACTAACAGATTGACACATGGTATAATCTAAATAATTTACTTGATTTTATTTATCCAAAAAAAAATCAAAAATCCGCCCATTTTTCATAAGTGCATTACCCAAATTAAAATACCATGACGTTTAAAATTAAAATAAAAGGAAAAATTGTATAAAATAGAAAACTATTAATTCAAATTAAATGTTATAGTCACAATTTGATTTAATTGTAACTTGTAGCAAACTGTTGTCATTTGCCCCTTTCCCTAAAATTCTCTCTCGCCACTCTCGTTTTCTCGCTGGCAGTCTCTCTCGCCTTTCTCACTTTTATACAAACACAAATGTATAAAATGCGTTTGCGTTTGTATAAAGTAGGAGAAAAATGTATATATACGTATTTTTTCATTCGCCTCTCTCCCCAGAGAATCTCGCTTGTCATTCTTACTTGCCTCTCTCACTTTATACTTGTATAAAGCGAGAGAAAATTGTATATATAAATACATATATTTTCGTCCTATACACTTATAATTATACAAATACAGATCTTTCCCTGCACAATTTTCTGTTGTCTTTCTCGCTTTATACAAACACATATTATACAATTGATTCTTTTGTATATGTATACCGAAACAGATTATACAATTGATCTTTTGTATATGTATACCAAAATATACATATTAATAGCCATAGCAAACATAAAGTTTGTTATGGAGCGCAATTATACAAATTATAGCTATAACATACAAATATGATTTTTACGTTTGTTAAACCTAAAATTACTCAATTTTTTTTTATAGACTTTCATCTCCATTAAAAATTAAACTAAAGGAAAAATGTTTTTCTACTCATTTTCGTTGGCACCATTCTCCAAATCTCACAAACAAAAACCCAGAAGCATATTATTTCAATGAAAATCAAGAAATCAATTTCATTTTTTTTGTTCAAATCAATTTATTATTATTGAAAGGATCGGAAACAATGTCACCATTGATGGACAAAACTTCAAGCTTAAAAATGGGTCTACAATTGAATCGAAAATTTCAAATTCAAATAGATTTGTTGTTATTGAAAGGGGTTGAGAAAATATTATCGCTATTGATGGACAAAGCTTCAAGCTCTAAAGTGGGTCTACAATCAAAGAAAATTTCAAGCTCAAATCGATTTGTTAATGTTGAAAGGGATTGGAAATATTTTTGAAATAGACAATGTACGAAACACCCAATAACCAAGATTCCTACGCTAAATGAAGATGAAGTTTTTTTTTTTGTCAGCAAGAGAGTAGTTTTAGTGAACAAATCTTCTTTCTTGAAAGATGAGTTCTTGATTCCATGGTTATGGTGGGTTGAGAACAATAGAGGGATGTTTTCTGATGAAAATAAAGAGTGGATTTTGGCACCACCCATTTTGGTTGTGGGTCGGGTGGATTTTTATTTTTTGGTAAAAAATAAATATAATCGGGTAAATCATTTAGATGAAGCCACATGTTCATTTGTTAGCTTCAATGATATACACAATCCAAAAGAATGACGGTAAGGGTATATAGAGCTTTAAAGTATAACAGAGGGTATTGACATACCATTTATGAAGTTCGAGAGTATATTTGTCCTTATTCTCTTTATTTTATTTAACTTCAAATGACCCAAGGTCATTTTTGGACCAAAGTAACTTCAAATGAATGTGTTAAAAATAAAATAAATAATAATTTTATTTGAAAAATGAGCATTTTTGACTAGTTAAATAACAATAAGGGCATTTTTAAATCAAAGTATTGATCACATAGATATTTTTGAACTAACCCATAAACGGAGGGCATTTTTTCATTTCAAATAATTTAAGAGCATTTTTGATCATTTTGCCTTATTACTATTACTAGTTTCTGGGCACGCACTTTGCCTGTTCAACCCATATTAATAAGTATATTATTTATATAAAAAAATATTATTAAATAATATGATTTGAGTTCTTTTTTATAAAATGTGTCTAATTGAAGTCTCTTACTTTGTCTCACTACTAATTTAGACACTCCAATTTCATGACCTCCAAGTAAATACATTGAGATAATAATATGAGAAGTTAATAAAATAAACTCTATTTATACGTCAAAAAATGAGTTTGTAGAGCAAAGGAAAAAGATAACAACTATCTAAATTAGCTAACTAGTCAAAATCTCTAACATAATTATTAAAAACAGCTACATTTTAAAATAATTATTAAAATTTTCAAAATGTCAATATTTTAACAAGTGTATCCTAATATAACTCATCTACCTTCCTTTTATTTCTCAAATTGGTGGCCCCACTTTTTTACTCAAATACAGCTGAATGAAAAAAAATAAAAGATTCCACTACCTACTTTTCTCTCTATAAATTTTTTATCCAAATTCTATCATTTCTCTTTCTCTCTCATGATTTCTTACATTATTCCATATTTTCAAGTAACTTAAATCTTGCTTTTAAAAAAATCAAATTCGTCCATTTTTCTAAGAAATCTCAGAAATTATTCAAAAGATTTTCAACCTTTGTTGAAGCGAATTCAACTGATTTGCGATTGTTTTCATTAAGGAAGAAATTTTGAAATAATCGATTGGGATTTCAAAGTGAATTTGACTGATTTCGTTGAAGTTCGAGATTGTCGGTGAAATATAGAAATGATCAGGTATTCATTAACTATAGATTCTTTAATTTGTTTGGAAGTGATTCTAAAATGGCTATTGAAAAAGTTATTCAAAAATGAATCTGGATCGTATTTTATATGTTGGATCTTCACCTGAATATCTGCATAAGTTACTATTCAAATAATGAATTTAAAGGTCAGACGATTAGTACATGTATTCAATTTGAGAGTTTTAGGGCAATATCTCATCCAAGACACTTTGTTGGACGACATCAACAATTCTAGTTATCTCTTCAATGAATTAAAGTATTTTTGCATCTTTCTCACATGCAGAAGAACCAAAAGGAGATGAAAGTATAGAATCACCGGTCATATTTCAAAATAATCTGTTTGGGATACAAACAATGAATGATAGAATTATTTTGATTTTGTTGTATGTTGGATGCTTGGAATACAAAATAATTTAAAATCCTATATAGTAGATGTTCTATAAATTAGACATTGAATATAATATATTTGTGGAATACATAATAGATAAGAAATACATTTTTGTCATGAAATGCATTTTTTTTTTAATTACAAATTTTGATGTTACTATGATTGTAAATTTGTACGTTTTGATGACTGGAATACAAATATTGTTGGAATTTTAATATGTTTTTGAAAAATATATAAATCAATGTTTTATCATTTCTAAATGAACATGAGTTTACATAAATATATGGATACAAATATGCTTCTTAAATAACTACAAATCCATTTGGTATACCTATTAGAATGAATACAAACTAATAAAGAAATATAAATGTCATTATACTAACTCAAACATGAAAATCATAATGAATACAAATTCACAGATCATACATATTGGAATGAATACAATCAATTACTTTATGAGAATTTTAAGTGATATGTTCCTTTTTTAAAAATATTCTATCCCATGATTTTCTCCTTTTTGTTATTAAATAAATGAATTATTTCAAATCAAACAAATTAAAAATACATAAATTAGAAGAATAACAAACTAAAATATTGACATTTTTAATAAATATTGAAAATGTTGATAAGAGCTCTCATTAAATGCTAAAATATTGA